AGCATGATAATATATTAAGTAATCCAAAGTATTCAGAATACGTTACAAAATACATTTTGGGGCATGTAATCTGTAATCTGTAGTGGAATACATTTTAAAAGTAACCTTCCCAACAGTTAAACAGTCCTGGGTATGACACGTTTAATCCATGCTGACATTTTTGACACGTCCACATTTGCAGGTTTCTAAATGGTTTTACCTTCCACCGCGTGGATCAGTAGCAGAAGCATGTTTTCCCACATGGTTGGTCCGTCAGCCTGAAACGATCGATCACAGCAGGTTAAAAAATCCTCGCTGCTCCTCACACACCTGACAGCAGTGACGTGGTCCTCCCTGCACGGTTTCAGCACCGTCACGGTGGACAGCGCCACCTGGGAGCCCCGCCCAGCAGCACGAAGCAGCCACGCTGTCACTGAAAACAAACGCAGCTTCGGCCCCGCGAGGCCACAACACCTCATTTGATATTAAAAAAATCTGCCCATGAAGCAAACACGTGCTTGTTTATCAGGAGCTAAAAGCGCAAAAATCACATCGCAGGCATCGCTCTGGCTGCCACGCTCCTCAGGGTACCATTCAGAAAATTACTAGTTTATGTTTCATTATTTATAAGTAAATATTCATGAAAGATTAAGCATTATTCATAAAAATTGAAGGGCCCAAATTAGTCATTCTTTAATTCGGCATAGGTTTAGGCCAGTAAACCCGAAACCTTGCGCTAAAAAATCAAACCGAGGCCGTTTGAGGGAAACCTGATAAACAGGACGAGGCAGGAAAAAAGCACCACCACTTATAAACGAGCCGAATCGCAGCACGTAGTGAAAGAAAACGGAATTCACGTTAGTCATCTGATTTTTTTTTTGTTCTGCTGAATAAAAAGCTTTAATTTTGCAGATTTTTAAATGCAGTTCTGCATGATGAAGGCTAACAGCGCAGATTACGATGAGAATCCAGCACCTGCCGTCGCAGGTCGCTGTTTTTAACATTTTACTGCCCCAAGACAAAAGACGTCACAGTGTTCGCACGTTTCACTGATTACACCGTCCTCGCGCCGTTTGCGGGATTTTATTATGGAACCCGCAAACGGCGCGCGGGTTATTATTAACCTGGATGTAACGCACCTGACTCCTGCCGGCGCTCCGGGCCTCCCAGCAGGCCTCTCGGCTCCTCAGTGCTCCGCCCGGCCGGACCCCGTCAGCCCCGCGGGCCTCATACTGGACTCAGCGGTGGGGGTTCAACCACAAAGATTTACCTGCTCACACTGAGATGCTGAGAAAGCACAAGCGCCGTACAGTCCGAGAAAATCACACGCATACACATCCGGTCATACCTTTCAAAATAAAGCCTACAAATCCTAGTGTTTGAAATGAAACCGTTATATCAGCACCATGTCAGGGGAAATGAACAGGGAGCGAGCATACACTGGACTTTTTTATGGATATCTGCTTCATGTAACGCAATTGTAACACATTTATCTTTGTTTGAAAAGTTTTGTCCTTTACTGGAAATTTCAAAACCCAACTATGCTTTTATTTTGTCGGGAATAATGTGCGAGTTCCGTTGCGGATTAAATGAACTGCATTAATTTGCTCTTTGCCCTCCATTGTGTGCCTTTATTTTCTCTCCTGTGTGTTATTTATTCCTGCACAGTTGGCGTGGAGCAAAATGACAATAAAAATAAAATAAATTCTATTCTGTTCTATTCTTAAATTGTGTTAAGGCTCAAAGTTAGCATTTGGGGCGTGGCCTCTAACTGACAGGCGGCGGCTCTGCTAACTTCACCTGAACTGGACGTCTGAGCTTTTGACCATTTTTAATAATGTCATGTGACGATGCTGTGAAGTTCCGGAAGTCGGAGCTCCAGTTCAAAGACAGATTCGCTAAAATGCTAACGTGGAAGTTTCATAACGGTCGAAGTCCAGCAGCCGCGTCCAGCTGTGAAATATCACACAAACCAGACAAACCAGGTAGATAACCAGCTGTTAGTTTGGTATTTTGTCCTAATCTGCTCGCCGTACCTCCGTGTAGGTGTGTGTATGTTTTGAGTGGTATAGGCGCCATTCCGTTACTGAATCCAAGCATGTAAGTTCTCTGCTGCTCTGCTGGTTAATAAAACCACGTTAACTGAGTTTACTGCTTCATCATTATCATACTGGTGAACATACAACAAAAATAATCATAAATCCTTAAATTTAATGTATTTGCAAACTCTGCTCACTTTTATTTGTTTTCTTAAAAAACATTTACAACTGAAATCACGAGCATTTATAAATTACAACAGCAAACACAATATCAGTTTAAATACGCCCGCCTGAGCTCTAACCACAGGCGGTCAGCTGGTTGGTTAAAGACTCAAACGAATTTAACCACAGTTTGAAGTTCACGCCAGGCTCCGGGCGCTCGGCTGCAGCAGGAGCCAGGTCAGCGTGAGCGTGCTTTAGTCTCATAACACGTTACAGTGCCCCCCCTGTAAACCAAACACTTACATTTATTCAGCCATCTGCCCCCCGCATGCTTCTGCGAGCTGTCCAATGAGAGGAAAGCTGGCATCTTAAGAGACAGTAGCCAAAGCAGAGGGTGATTAAGGACTGAGCCCTGACACAGGAGGATTATTTTGAACTGTGAATCATGCAAAGCTGCTCCACGACACTAAAAATATGAAGCTGGAAATATCAGTGAGAAGTCGCCGGTTTGATTCCTGCTGCTGCTGAGACGCCCCAGAGCAAACTGTTAGCTTTGTGGGTCAGCTGACAGACCAGACGTGAAGGGCATCAGGTCACAAACTGAGCATGCTCCATAGCACTGCTGAGCATCTGGTTCAGGACAATCACACACGACCCAACAAAAACAGCCGTGCAGCAATCGTGGCCTCAAAAGGAAATATGACGTTTTTTGTTTTTTAATATTTAAAAAAAACTAATAAAAGATCTGCAGAGGCTCCACCCACTGCTTATCTGAACAACCAATGAGCTCTCAGATCAGGTCAGGTGTGTTACCCAGAATGCCGTGGGCACAGTGATGCGGCACTCTTGACTCCTGCTGCTCAAAATAAGCAGGGGTGCTATTTTTGACAGAAACCACACCAAGCTACTCAGAGCAGAGAACAGGAAGTCAGAAACAAGCCACATTTCAAAATAAAAGACCCCATGCAGGCTAAATGCTCCTGGTACAACTTGAAGACCCTCAGAGACGTGATGGAGCGATTCAGGATTCAAATCATCTGGATCTGCGGAATCCTCGGTCAGGCCTGAGCTGTCGAGGGTAGCTGCTGGTGCTCGCAGGGCGGACAGGAAGGAGAAGGCGACGCCTTCAAGGGGAACTTGTCTGTAAATTGGATCGTTTATTTCCTCTGACCTCGCTTGTCCCAAACCAGACGCTCTGAGCTGACACCAGCGAAGCTTTCGAGCATCAACACACGACAGCGTGCATCCCTCCTCTTTCCTCTTCAGCCTTAACGCTGAGTCGCTGAGCTCCATCAAAAAGCTCTGCTCTGCATTCTGCCGCTGAAACAACCTGTTCATTACACCCTCTGCTTTATTAGAGCCATAAATATCTACACTTTGTTATAATACAGATTTCACATCACACAGCACTTCCCGAATGAGTGCGTCGGGCCTCCAGGTGAGTCTCCAGGTCCAAACACAGATGATGAGGGGAACTTCCTGTACTGCCATCTGGATTCTAACAGGAAATAGTTCAAGCTTCATCGTGGAGGTCAGGCAGCGGGCGGTGGATGAGAGGATGTGTGTGTGGGAGGTTATTCTACTCGTTATGATCGTGATCTTTGTCGCCGGTCAGGTTTTACAGGTGACCGTTGTTGTACTTGCTAACTCGCTCGCCGAGACTTTCACTCCGCCTCCGTGGAAGCTCGTGTCAGGTCACCTGCTTCAGTCGTGCTTCTCCGGGTCGGCTTCGCTGACGTGCACCAGCACCACAAAGCTGCAGAGGGAATCCAGCGGTGACTGGAGGATCTGAGAGGTCCTAACCTTGGCCTCTGCGGTCACATGGAAAGACTCAAACTGCAGCTTCATTGTGACGGGCCGACTCCCAGCACCATGAGTCATTCAAAAACACTAATAAAAAACGTCTGAAAGTTCTCAACCACGCTTTAAAAACAAACTGTGAGGCTCGCCCGTGACCATGCAGCGCATCTTTAAATCAGCCCAGCCCGAGCTTCTGACGAGCCCTCGCCTTCGACGCTGCACCAATCACGGCTCAGAATGCTGCTGAGAGAAGTGCGTCCTTTTTGTCTCCTGCTGCCGGATCTACTTTCAGGATCGTTGATGGAGCCGTAAAGCATCTGGATTCACACCGACGAGGCAAAAGAAGGACAGGACAGGAAGGAGTGCGGCACTCCGACCTCCACCTGGAGGCAGCAGAGAGGTGAAGAACACGAGCAGGTGAAGGCAGCGGGGATCCGAAGGCTCGCCGTTTTCCCCTCACAGGGATGAACGAGCGCGGGGGAAGTCACCAGGACCCGTTTCAGCATTCAAGAGGCGGGTGGAAGCTGCGTCTGCAGTCGATGGCCTTCGGGCTGGGAGGCTGTGCTCGCTTCTTCCGCAGCTCCTCCCGACCCAGAGTACCGCTGAGCCGAGAGTACGCCGCCTTGTACTTCTTATCGAACGCCGCTGTAAGAGAGAGAGGAGGAGGAGTTATCATCGAACAGCTGACCTCAAAGATGACGAAGGTTAAAATCTGCGAGTCTGTGATTGAACTACAGACCACACCCATGTAAAGGAACAGCCGTCAAAGTCGTGTGCTTCCTCTGATTCAACACTGTTTGACCAGTTACTCTGTTCTGCTGGGAGAAGTCTCCACACGTCAGCACCAACATGTCTGCTGACGGTGCCGTGAGCGACTCTGCAGTCATACTGCAGAGTGACACGACAGGAGGATGGACCTGAGCGATCTTCAGGCCCCGCAGGGCCTCACGGCTCTTACTCCCTGATACCCTCTCTTCACCTTCCACAGGACACGTGTAACACATGTGTCCCATACCATAACACTAGGGGAAACCAGTGGGAAAACCTAAGAAAACATCACCAAACACTAGGGAAAACAAGTGGGAAACACTAGGGAAAACAAGTGCAAGTCACTTCCTTTGACTTCACAAAACATGTCAGAAAAGTTAGCAAAAATGCTAATGCTAAGCTAGCCCAATGCTAAGCTACCACCACAGGAAACAG